GCCGGCCAGGGATGTTCGAGAGCAGGCTGAATAAGTAGAGCGGAAGGAGAAACAGGCACAGCCAGCATATGACTTCTCAAATTCAGGATCCCAGCCCTAGTACCTAGGAAGGGAAACGCTCAGGCAGAATCTGCATACTCAATTTCGATTTCAAACTCATGTACATTATCATCATCATCACTTACACAGCATTGTAATGGGACGCTGGACCACCAGCACCCCTAGCAGTCGACTGGGCTGTTTTTTCAAAAAAAAAAAGAAAAAAAAAAGAAAAAAAAAGGGGGGGGAAATCTTTTAGAAAAAAATAAAAAATAAAAACAAAAATAAAAAATGAATAACTAGTGGCCTCTTTCCGAATGCTCAGAACCCCTAGACTCCCAAACAAAACTCTCTAAAACTGTCCAACACTGTCTTATTCACCACCTCCTTGGGAGGCCTTTTTCTTTTTTAGTGGGTTCCTATGGGCCACGGATCAGATACTGAACTGATCAGAACAGGGCTAACAGGCTTCTTCTTCAGCCATGCGGGGTGACCCTTTTTTTTTGTGAACATTGGGCCTCGCTCCACTACTAACCAGATGCACAAAAGACAAGAAGTATAGAGGTGTATATTACCATATTCTGGCGGAAGATTCATGATCATTTTGCACATTTCATGAGTGTGGAGTGAGGCCGTGTGAATGAACGACGTGTGAATGAACGACCCGCCACGAGGCCTGAATCGTGTGGATCGCATGCATGTGTTGCAGAGCTGAGCGGCTCTGCGGCATAGTGAGCCCTAAGCCGTACGTACTATGTGCGGGAGCTGAGCGGCTCTGCGGCATAGTGAGCCCTAAGCCGTACGTACTATGTGCGGGCGGGCGAAGTGCGGCCAAGGCGCCATGAGTGGGTAAGATCGACGAAGCCGAGCCATGTATGGCTACCGTCTACCTCCGACCACAAGGCACCCTGATAATGAATGTATACAATCCATCTTTCCGGTCAAATGCAGCCAAAATGAGGGTGCGTTGTCTTCGGGGGAAGACCGTAGGGGCCAAGCCGTCATGAGTGGGTAAGTGCGACGAAGCCGGGCCATGTATGGCTACCGTCTTCCTCCGACCACAAGGCACCCTGATAATGAATGTATACAAGCCATCTTTCCGGTCCGATGCGGCCAAAATGAGGCTACTATGTCGGTACGGCGGCTATACGTGCGACGATTGGCGTACGAATAACTACTACTGTGGGGACCACTGTTTGTGCACCGAGTTACCACCTAAGCCGTGCTATGTGCGGCTATGTGCGGCTATGTGCGGCGGCTAAGCGCATGTACTATACCAAGTTACCGTTACCGCTAGGCCGTGCTATGTGCGGCGGCTAAGTGCATGTACTATACCGAGTTACGGCTAAGCCGTGCTATGTGCGGCTATGTGCGGCGACAAAAGTGTATGTACTACACCAAGGTACCGCTAAGCCGTGCTATGTGCGGCTACGTGCGGCGGCTAAGTCCATGAACTATACCAAGTTACCGCTAAGGCGTGCTATGTGCGGCTACGTGCGGCAGCTAAGCGCATGTACTATCTTCGGCGAAGTCGATAGCCCAGCAAACTACCCAGGTCGCCTGCAGCTACCGGTAGCAGGGATCGCGGCATTCATTTTCAACGGCTAGCTGCTGTGCATCCATCTGGCGGGAAGAGCTGTCCGCTCTTCTGCTGACGTGGACGCACGCAGATTTCCCGCCATCAAGGTGGTGCTATTCGTGGTCCTGCTTCCTGATCCTGGTTTCTGATCGGGGTCCCGGTTGTGGTGGACCAGGTCGCGATCCTTCCGATGGTCCGGTTCCGGGCCCCGACACTCTGCGCGGGAACCAACAGCAGCTTCGCCTCTTATGCCGAAAAAATCCGCCCCGTGACGGCAACGGTCGGGATCTCTCCTTATCGAGGAACCGTGGAAACGATCGGTTCATCTGCTGCTGCCACGTGTCGCACTCCCAGTTCGTCAGCATGCCATCGAGCACTACGTGGCCGGTCCTTATCCAGGTTGGGCTTCCAAATCGCAGTCCGACAAATTAAGCCCGGCAAGAGACCGGGATGCTATCAATTACCCTCTCTCTCTTTCTCGTCATCCCACTCCCTCCTCCTCCTCCTCCTCCTCCTCCTCCTTCTCTTCCCCACTCTCCTCCTCCTCCTCCCCCTCTTCTCCTTGTGATCCATCTTCACGTCTCCTCCTCCTTCTTCTCCTCCTCCTCCTCCTCCTCCTCCTCTCCTCCTTGTGATCCATCTTCACATCTCCTCCTCCTCCTCCTCTAACCCCACGCCTTCCCCTCCTCTTACCCCACACCTTCTCCTGCTCTTAACCCCACGCCTCCTCCTCCTCCTGCTGGCTGCTGGCTGCTGGCTGCTGTTTTTTTTCTCTCTGTCCTCCTATCTCCATGTCCGTGCGATTGCCCGATGCGCAGGAACGCTCCCTAAACCAGACACCGTCTCTGCTCTCTGTTACTATATCTCTCCCTTTTTGCGGCACACTTCTCCCTCCTCGCCTGCCCGCTCATGGATAGATAATGGGGCCTGCATTTTGTTCTTTTTTTTTTTTTGTGGGGGGGGGGGGGGGGCGGGCGCGCGGGCATGGTTCGTGCTTTTTTTCTTTCTTTTTTTTTTCTGATCCGATATTCGAGAAGCCGGCGCGGGTATGGTTCGTACCCGCGCCTTCTCGCCCCTTCACGCGCCTTCCCGCGCCTTCTCGCCCCCGCGGACTCCCCTTCACAAGCCTCTAATATGTACATTGAAGACCTGGCAATTCCATCCTTCCCGCGCCTTCTCGCCCCTCCCCTCCCCGCCGTTCACGTGGTGGTTTTTCAACTTTTTCTCCTTTTTTTTTTTTTTTTTTTTTGACGTGGGGGGACCGTTGACTTACTTCAGCCTGTCTCCCCCCCCCCCCCCCCCCCGACCCCCGGAAAAAAGAAACCTTACCCCAGCCTCTTTCTTACCTGTATGGTGGTACGCACACGTCGCTGTTGATAAACAGATCATGAGTTCAGTTCCTGATGGATACTATAAATGTGAGGGGCTCATCTCTTCAGGGAAGAAAAAACAGAAGGGGTAAGTAACATCAGCAGAGTCACAAAAACGAGTTATAATTGCACTATATTTGGGGCAAGTTAACAGTTTGCAATTGCACTTCGGGCACCCTACACCTGGCCAGAAAACTGGGTTGTATACATTGGCCGAACTGCAATTCGAAACTGTATCTTGGCCCATAGTGCAATCATAGATTCGTAACTCATTTTTTTTGTGACTCCCGCGTAGTTTTCCCTTTAAAACAGAAAGAAAAGAAAACACGCAAAAAAAAAAAAACAAAAAAAAACCGACTTTATCTGAAAACGTAAAAACGCTGACTTTGTAATTAAAAATAAAATAAAATGCTGTTTTTTTTTTTGTTTTTTTTTTGGGGAGGGGGGGGGGGGGGGGAAGAAGAACGTACGTACTACGTACAGAACACCTTTTTGAGAGAGAGAGAGAGAGAGAGAGAGAGAGAGAGAGAGAGAGAGAGAGAGAGAGAGAGATCTATGCAATCGCGACCGCCATCTATACATAGGAGTCGATAGGACATAAGTATAGGAAGCCGCTAACCATGATCTATGTACTAACACACAGAAAGGAAGTGTTAGTGTGAGTGTTAGTTACTGACAGGAACAACAGCAGGCCCACCAGGAACACTTGCCCGGCCGGGCCCAAAAAAAAAAAAAAAGTAAAAAAATGAAAAGTATTTTTTAACTTCATTTTTTATTTTAAATTTGGTAAAGAATTTCGATGTGACCCTGAGGCAAAAGTTGTTCACTTTATTTTTCTGCATAACATAGTTTTTTTTCCGGAGTTTTTTTTTTTTTTGCTACGACCTTCCCTGGTCCTTGCACGGCCGGGCCGTCCGGGAAAATAGGGTGACCCGGGCGGGCCGGCTGGTAGAATAGCTAATAAGAGTATAGTCCATTTTTTTTTAACTAAGATGAGTATAGTCCATTTTTGAAAACCAAAAGAGTTTAGTCCATTTTTGATAATCAACCTTTCGTGTCATCAATCAACCACTCACTCACTCATGGGGGGAAGAGGAGAGGAGATGGTTCGTTTCTGAGAGAGAGAGAGAGAGAGAGAGAGAGAGAGAGAGAGAGAGAGAGAGAGAGAGA